GAGCTCCTGAGCACAGACATCGCGATGTGGACAGCCTGGCACTGAGTTTAAAAGGCTGGCTAGCAAAAATGTACAGAGGAGCTAAATCACAAAGGATTTTCCAGCCTAGAGGGCCACGGCCTCTGGCTCGGCAGTCCCTTGAGCCAGAGGTTCAAATAAGCCAGAGGCTTTGCATAAGCCATTCTCCAAGGCTTCCAGCACTGTCCCCTAGAGCGAAGGATGGTTTTCTGTGCAGACTGATACAGAGCTGTAATCCACAGCATCACCTTCCCCAGCTGTTTGCTCCTGGAACTGCACTGGTCCGAGCCATCAGCTCCATCCCTCTGTCTAATAAAGGAGCTGTTGCCTGGTTGTAGACAGCGAAAAATAATTTTCAGATGTTGCTGCTACTCTCAGCAGGGTGTAATAGAAACTCATTACCGTTCACAAGTCTAACTTAATTACATTTTTTCTTGAAGGATGTTATGCTGGCTCAGCAGGAAAGGGGGACTCATCTGCATACGTTCAGGGTCTGTCTTCTCAAAATTTAGCAATATCCATGGTAAATGCTGAAGAAAGGTGGGAAATGACTGTAGGACCTCCTTCTGATCAGTGCAAACTGTGGCAAGGATCTGCCAGACTCACAGAAAACAATATCCTGTAGCTAGATCAATTGAGAATGAGACCTCACCTTGCTCCTTCTGTGGTTATTGTTTTCATCAGACAGTCACAAAAAATTAAAATTAGTGTTTTCTTCATTGCTCAAAATTTCAAGGCTTAACTTGTTTTGTTACTTCCTTTGCAGAAAGAAATGGTGTTATTGAGAGGGGAAAAGAAAAGAGTTGGAATTCCACCTGGGGTGATAAAAGCAATCTCGGGTTACCTATAGATGACGTGAGTATAATTTGGCTTTGTGTGTGTAAGGCGTGAAGGCGTGTTCTGGCATCCTGTTGGGCACTGACTGTGGGGTGTGTTGCTGCAGGTCCCTGAGGAGCAGGGAGTGAGGAGCCCTCCTCCACGGGCAGCTCCTCCAGAGGCTTCACCTCCAGTGGTGCTGCAGCACCTGGCCCAGCTCGCTGCAGCTGGGAGATGAAAATTCCCATGCTCACAGTGCCTGTGAGCATTTTGTTGATGGTTGCCTACCCTGAGGGCCAGCACAGCCCCACGAGGAGCTCTCAAGGTCAGCCCGGGAGGGCTCCGAGGTCTGGCCTCACTCAGGGAGGCGATTGCTGCATCACAGTGCATGGGGAGCTGGAGATGAGCTTTGCTCACAGGCTCCAAGGCAGGAACAAAAAGGAGGTGAGAGGGGAAGAACCCACCCCTATAATTAGCTGCGTAATTAAGCTTCCTCTTGGGCAGGGAGCGCTGGGCCAGTTCTGCCTCCTGTGAAGTGCAGTGACACCTCCATCGCCTCTCACTTAAGAGAAATAAATCGGTGCCCAGAAGGCTTTCTCCAACAGGGGACGCGGATACAAAAACAATTCTTGTTGCAGGCTTAGCAAGTGTATTTGGGGTTAAAATGGATGGATTTAGCCACTGATATGGGATAGGGGATTGCCTAGTGATGCATGGGGTCCCAGCGGGGAAGAGAGAAAGTCTGAAACAAAGCAAAAGTAATTAAATAGAGGCAGAGCAAGCAGCACTTCTGCGCTGGATAATCTATGCAAACTACAAGGGTTCTTGTTCGGACAATCAATAAACCAGCCCGTTTCATTTTATTTTTGTGTGGTTGCATGTACTGGCTATATTGTGATGGAAACATTGTGAAGAATTGATTCACAGATAGAAATATATGTGGGTTGCTTGTGGTTTATTAAGAAGATCAAGATAACAAGTGCTGCATTATTGATCAAACCCAGAGGGACACTTCCTTTTTTTCTTCTTGTCGATGAAATCCAGTTGTAATTATTTTTTCCTTTTTCTCATTCTTCCTTTCCGCTCACCCCTCCCTAACCCTCTGGAGATGCAGTAATGAAGTAAGTGCAAAAAATGTCAGTCAGGGCTGGCAATGGGCAGGAGAGGGGTAGAAAGGAGACAAGCAGAGAGATTGGGAGGGAAGAAAGCATTTGTCAGCGTGTATGGGAGCGCTTCTCTGCTAATGTTCATCACTCAAGCTTAACGGGGACGGGAGCTTAACAGGAGCCCAAGTAGCCTTTTTTATTTGCACTTTAGGAATCTTTTACCCTGGATTTAAATCTTTATTTATAGCACAACCAGGCCTGCCCGCTGGCTCCTGTGCAGAGCTGGATTTACCAAGGATGGGCTTTGCTGTGGGCAAGGGGAGGGGACAGCTGGTGTTTTGGCAGCAGAAAATGACAGGTCTTCTCGTGGGGCCCTGCAGAGACTGGCCAGCGTGTGCCCACCCCTCTCATGAGCTGAAGACCAGCAGATCAGAGCAGGCAGACCCTACAGCTTTTCCTTTTCCATCTACTAATTTTTGCACGTAGCTGTGGGTACCTTGGCTGCTCTCTCCCAGTGATGGGCACTCCTCGGGGACAGTGTCCAGCTCAGCCACAGGGCTGGTAAGTGCCAGTTAAGCAGATCTGCTGTGAAGAAAACCATCAGGCCTTGGGACAGACCACTTGTTCCTTCTCTTCTGTCTTTGCTCCCCCTTGCCTCCCTCTCCTGGAAGCAGAGGAGAGCTTACAATTCTGCTGATCTGTCACATACCAGGGGCACTATCAGCTGGGCAGCTCACTGCTGCCGTACAGCCCCTGACCACATCAGTGCTGCTTTTCCAGCCCTGGCGATGAATCTGGAGCCACAGGTGGCTGGGCACTTCACTGTCACATCCCACCAGGACTGACTGCTGTTCCTTCTGCTCCTCTCGTTGTTGCTCAGTTTGTGCAGGTTCAGCTCTCTCACCACTTACATCCCACGGCCCCCTAAATTTGACAAGACTTGGCTGGGTATAACTGAGCTGAGAGCAGACCAAAGTCAAGCGTAGCAGTGACAGGAAAAGGCCAGAATTAAATTGGTTTATATGCCTGCCTTGTGCACATAAGTGTTATGACCATGGTCATGTTTCAAAGCTCCCTGCTAGCACTTTGTGTCCCTGCCAGGAAGGATGAGATGCTCTGACACTCCCAGGGAGAGCATCACCAGCTGGTTTGGGTTTATTTTTAGCTTAGGAGTGATTCTGTTTGTTTGTTTTTTCTTGTTTTCTGAAATACCTGACTCATTTTGGCTGAGCTATTTCAAACCTCTTCAGCCTGATGTGGGCACTCAAGATAGCAAATGTTAGCCTCGCAGAGAAGTTGGCGTTATAACGCAAAGCAAACAGGTCTATCAGGGGGCACTTCTACCGGGGTGGTGGTTCTGCTCCTGATGGTAGTGCTTGCAGCCAAAATATGTTTATGTAAAGAAGAAAAATAAAGCCAGATGTAGGTCCCTAAAGTCCAGAGTCCCCTTCTTACTTGAGAACAGACAGCGAAGTAGCCAAATGCTAGAGTAAACCAGTGGCCAGGAGCTCATAACACAACACAGACAGATGGCACTGCACATTAACCTTTCTGTTGGGATCGGCTTTGGCACGAACACCTAAAAGGCTTAGGAGAGGTGTTAAGACCCAGTGGTCACTCGAGGTTTGTCCTACTGACAATGAAGAACAAGGCAAATCCTGGAAGCATTTCAGGCTTCCTCTCCCTAGCACATTTACACTCCTAATTTAGGTTGCTGTCCCAGGAAGGTAGACTTATAAACAAAATGACTACAGCATGTCCTATAGCAGCTCCGGCATCACTAACAGAGGTGGGAGAGGGCATGAATCAGAGAAGATAAATTTTATATTCAGAGGTAGTCTAGCAAGTTCTTATGGCACTTAATAGCTGGCATACTCCCACTGCAAGGGAAGCAGAAAGCAAATTCAATCATTTCTGTTACAAAAATCCCACCGCTCTTTATTATGTGCACAGATGGTGTCTCAGGAGCTTTGCTGCCAGTGCTCTGCATGCCTAATGCCAGGCAGGGAGCATTGCTTTTCCAGCCCAGGTGACAGTGGGAAAGCTCCTTTTTTTTTCATTTGCTAGAACTACATGGATTTCCGTGCACTCCCATTTATACATTTCATCTAAACCAAGCAAAAAGTCCAAATATTACTGTGGACCATATTTAGTGGAGATGAAAGCAGAGACACAAATGAGAACTGATTATGCACCATGGAGGTGAAAAGCTGTTGCAAACAGAAAAACAATTAGAAGGGGATTGCAGGACATCCAGTACAATGGGAAATGGAGTTGCTTTACCTTAAATCCTTCCACATGTATCTTACCTGTAAGGGTAAAGTGTAGAACCAGATAGACCTCTGGAAATGTTTCTACTCCAGAAATGGAATAATCTCACTTAAACGCCTTCTTGCTTTTGATGGAGGCTTCTTAATACAACACTGCCTTTTGCAAGAGCTGCATTTCTGCAGCTGTTTATAAATTTCCCTAAACTGGCCTTTTCTAAAAATCATCATCTCTTTTGAGCTGGTCACTGTGTGCTGTAGTTGTGTTCTATGAGTTTGTGTTACTTCACTACCAGCTGGGCTTGGGATCTTCTTCTGAGTAAAAGTTAGAGGACTGTAGAAAGGTCAGATCTGCTCAGCCTCTTTTTTTTAAGTGCCGTACAAAGACTACCATTTACTTTAAGCAATAAAACACTCTGTAGGTTTATGTGTTCCCCCTCCAGCCTGAAGCTCTTCTAGCACTTAACAGCTGTTGTGTTATGATGTACAGCACCACTAGGACACAGCAAAGCACTATCCCAGGTTCAGAGGTAGGAGAAAAAGCCACAGAGGACCTGGCTGGCTTTTGAGAATCACAGATCTTATCTCAAAAATGCTTTGGGCCAGTAGGATCAAACTGCAAGGTCCTCCAGCTGGCATAATTTGGCATAGCTCCATCTAATTGCATGCTGGTAGAATAATTACTGCCAGCTGAAAAAATGGGATGGGCATGGCTTTTTTTTTTTTTCTTTTTTCTTTTTTTTTTTTTTTTTTTTTTCTTCCCCTTCTCCTCCTCCTCCTCCTCCTCCTTTACCAGAGGAGATAAATACCCTCATGCTGTAGTTGGTGGGCTTTGCCCTTGGCTGTGTAGGTTGTGTGTTGTTGAGTGGAAATATGCGTTAGAGGGGAAGGTGAAAACAGTCAAAAATTCAGGCTATGTGAGTATTTTGGTTTTATGCACATGCCCAGAGTATCTTTATATTCAAGAGCTGGACTCGATGATCCTTGTGGGTCATCTCCAGCTTGGGATATTCTATGATTCTGTATTTAATATACTGGAGGTCATAGATTTAATATGTGTGACATCTTACAGGACCACAGCCCAACTGAGATATACTGACTGCAAATGATTTCAGGTAGAACAGCTTCTGTTGCAGAGCTTTTGACCCTTGGTCAATTGAAAACCAAAGGATGTAGCACAGAGCCTCTGAGCTGCCTTCATCACCTACAACTGGGCCAAGGTAAAACTGAGCTGCTTGGGAACTTTAGATAGAGTTTGGAAAACAGACCTTGAGTTCTTGATTCACCTCTGCTTCCTTTAGCACGTTCAGGAATTCAGGTTTTTCTCATAAAGCAGGCCTAATGGTCTCCAGGTTGACCAGCCAGAAATGGCAATATTAGAACTTCCTGAGAATTTTGTCCTAGATCTTTTACTACCAGCATTTGCTTCCAGATTGCTCTGCTGATCTTAATCGGTTAATCAGTTCTATTAGACAATTGCAGAGTGCACTGTGGCTCTGCAATCTTTTTGTGTTTACTGCAGTGTCATTATGCTCAGTGCTTTATTTTCCTCTTGGTCTTTCTTTTTGTTTTCTGTTGTTTGTGAATTAGAAGGCGTAGGACTTGTTAGCTGTGCTCAGTTTGCCCTGCCCTGCCTTGGAAAACTAAAGTGGATGCTCAGGGAATTGAGGGGTGGTCATTTGCCTTAGCATAATTCTGCTGACTTCTGAAAGAAGTTTAACATTCCTCGCCTTTCACCTTCAATGCCACTAGCAGAGCTGACCTGAGATGCTGGCCCAGAGGAAGTTAATAAGATAGCTTGCACCACGAAGCTAGAGGAGTCGATAGTAATGAATATTTAAGTGGTGGAATTTTCCACTGCCATCACTGAACTTTTTTTCTACTAATTACTGCCATTAATAAAGTGCTGCCAACACCTGACTAATGAGGACTCAGCACCAACTTTACTTAATCTATGGCCTTTTGTCTTCTTGGTTGTGCAATGCACGTGACAATTGCCAGGTTGCTGAGACAGCTTAAGGAGAGTTTGGAGATGGAGGTTTTAGAGAGTTTAATAGAAAGTGGAAGCTGTCTTGCAAGAAGTCTGTGTTGATGAAAATTAAACTGAAATGAATGCTTTCTGGAGTTCAAGTAAATGCTAGCTCTTCTTGTCTCCTGTCAGATGTTCAGAGAGATGGCTGATGTTGTTTTCTGCTTTCTAGGATGACTCTTGATGTCTGAAAGAGGAAGAATTTCCTGAATTTGCTCACTGCTCCTGTCCTCTCCCTGCAGACACCTGTGAATATCTGCTCCAGGGAGAAAAGAGGTGAGGACACATGATGCTTTATGCATGCAAGGTTGGTGGCTTTCTACTGTATGGTAGCAAATGGTGAGGAGATTGGAGCTCTGCTTTCTGCTGTCAGAAATCAGAATGAAGTCTTGAATTCTTTTGTTTCAGTCTGATTTACTGTATGTGCCAGTGAAAGAAACGAAGTGCTCCCAGGAAGAAACAATTCTTCATTTGCTTAATTCAGAGCTCTAGGTTGAAGCTCTTATTTCATTTCCAACCTGACTCTTTTTTTTTTTTTTTTTTTTTTTTTAGAGTGTTTAGGCAAACATGGAGTTCCTATAGTGCATGCAAAATCTTCCTCTGCCCCTAAAAGGTACCTAACCACAAAAGTTGGTTCGTTGTGTAAAATCAGCATAGCTGCAGTTTATTGGTGAATCTTTTCAAAGAGGCCATTTGGAGCTGTAGGACCATGATTTTTCTCATGCTGTTAGCTGGTACATAACACACTAGGTGCAGTCAAATGCCGGGTATGTGATCCCCACAGGGAGGATGCTCTGTTTTGAGAGATGTGGCAGTGACCTGGTGGGAGTGCCTTCCATCTGAATTTTGGGTGGCTTTAGGGGAGGCTGTGAAGAGCAAGTTAAGAGATGGAAGTCAAATCCCTCACTTGGGAGCAGGTCTGAATCCTCTGAGAGTGTGGAATCACTGCCACCCTTGAGAAAAGGTGGGGGTGTAATTGCAGAACTGAAAAGCCAGCCTGACTTCCAGAGATGGGGTTTGGGACTGTGAATTTCAGTCGACACCAAGCTCTGACTCCTATCATTTTAGAGTTGTTTCATGTTTAAACACTGCAATTGCTGTTAAATGTGAGTTCTCTGAGCTTTAATAAAAATAGCATCACATTAACCTAACGAGTTTTTACAGACGAGATTGATAACATTTATTAAACGGCTTATATAATGCATTTGTCTGCAATAAAGGGTGATAGGACTCGATGACCTGAGAGGTCTTTCTGCTCCCAGTGCTCCTCTTGCAGGTGGACCAGCCACGAGAGGGCAACAAAGGCTTGTGGGCCGTAAACAGGCTGTAATTAAAAATAAATTAACATATAACAAATCTGTCAGCTCAGGAAAGAAATATTGCTGCTGCTCACTGGAAGCTGGCGTGACAGCCTCCTTTAGCAGCACCTCTTCGCAGGGGTGGTGCACGTGGAGAACGAGGCTGGGTGCTGTCTGGAAATAAAAAGGAATGGGTCATCAGTCATCCTTTTTGTTGCAATAGTTACCACTGGGAGCTTTGGAGAAATGTGGTCCCTGAAGTTGTCTTCTCCTCTTCAGGGGATGACCAGAGTAGTGTATCCCAGTTTGTGAGTCATTGCCCTTAGAAAGCAGGAGGACTGGAGAGTGGAGAGCCATGAAGTGTCTCTCCTGAGCCTCCTTTTCTCCAGGCTGAACAAGCCCAGCTCCCTCAGCCGCTCCTCGTAGGACTTGTTCTCCAGGCCCCTCACCAGCTTCGTCGCCCTTCTCTGGACCCTTTTCCCACAAAAGATTGGATTTGATGGTCTCTTGAGGTCCTTCCAACCTGGGCTGCGCTGTGTTTCTGGGAGAAAGGGGGAAGGCTGTAGGAAACTTGGGGAAAGGGAGGACAAAGAAAGGGTGCAGAGGGGGAAAGGTAGGGACTGTTGCTCGAGAAAACGGGGAAAGCAGCTGGAAAAGAGGTGGTGGAAAGTTTATGGATCGTGTGGTGGACGCTTTTCTGTTCTTGGTGGTCCAATGATGAGCAAGAATATCTAAATATTTAATATGGAGGGTCTGGAGGGGAAATTTTCTGCAGCCTGTTTGTCTGGGGCAGTATTTGACCCTCTCCTTACGCGGTATGAATGCAGACAGCGTACTGTCAGTCAGCTACCCACGGCCAGCAGGGAGAGGACGTGACGAGGATTGTAACTGCAAAAGCTAAAGATGAAAAACTACTACTTCCACAGACTTGGAAATAAAAGCTTCATGTGGCGTTTTTTATTTCCTTGTGCTGTGTCTTTGTTTTTAGAGGGGGAGAGAAGAACAAGGTTATTTGTGGAGGTGTTAAGTTAAGCAACTGAAAAATCTCTGACTTGGAGTTGCTGCTAGTTTCTTCTCATTTTGTTTTTTTGACCCTGACACATTCCTCTTCAGCATCTTCATAGGCTAAGGAATAAAACATGACATAACTAAGATGTACAGTGTGCTTTTTGGCTAAACCGCGGGGCTGGCAAAACATTACCATCATTTTTCTGGCTTTTATTTGAAATCATAAAGAGTTAAGCGCATCAGTTTGCTGTGGTTATTTTTTTCTTCCTTTCCCTGAATAAAAAATGAAGGAAGAGCTTGGCAGTTAATTTAATAGTTTGTTGGGAAAATATACTGATCTATGACATCATTAATTGAAATGAAGGGCAGAGAACATTCAGAGCTGCAGGAAAAAAAGTATAAAGGAATGTTTGGCAAATGACATAAAATAAAAAATGAGATCTTGGGGCTCAAAGTTACCACTAAGATAGTTTCCCAAGACTGTTCAGTGCTGAATGTGAAAGGGCAGGAAGCAGAACAACAGGAAGGGCTTTGGTAGAGGTTCTGATTTTGAGTTTTTTTTTTTTTTTTTTTTTTTTTTTTTTTTTTTTCTCACAGAATATCACAGATTAATAGATATGTCAGTTAATAGCCACAGAACCTTTTCAAAGTAGCAGCCTTTCCCTGTTTTAAGGATTGTGCAGTAGTTGCTGAGCCAGTTCCAAATGCAAGCATTTATTAAGGTAGACACTAAATCCATGTGTAGATACTCAATATCTATTTTCAGTATTTTACCTTCGAAGAATGACTGCAAATAAATGATAAAAGGTGTCTGCAGGTGGCTGAGATGGTTCTTTGAGCATAGTTTTAGACATGTCTGAGGACCTCAGATGCAAGATAGACCATGATGGGCTCATTTATTATAAATCACATCTGACTAATAGTGCTGTAAATCTAAAGTGCTGCTGTTAAAGCTGGCTTATTCATCTTCACTTGACTTCTTTTGGTTATTCTTAATGGTGCTATAGGATTAAATAGAGAGTTCTGTGGTTTCACAGTACCTGCAGCCATGTAACAGCTCTTGTTTTTCCATTAAACATCGTGGAAGAAGGTAGCATCTACCATTAAGACTTGATGTCATTTTTGTGAGTGATATGTGGGTTCAGGGAGAGAGGGAGAAATATTCTTGTGGTGTGAAGGTGAAACACGTCCCCGTGGGCCAGCAGCCTGGAGCATTTGTTGAAGGTTTAACATCGCTGCCTGCGAGCTGAGTGCTGAGACCAGAGGGGCTGCCTGGGGGAACCATGTTCTGCCATCGTGTTCCCAACTCTTCTGACTCTGAGGGCTTTATTGTCCCACTTCAGCGATTACTGATGATGCTAGATGGCTCAATTTGTTTTGATAAGTATTATGCCTCCTACTTCAGTGGCACCTCTTGTCTAAAGGCACCTGTACCTGGGCAGTGGCACACGAATGGCTCTCGTGTGCTGCCTGCGCTCTGCAGATAGGGTCAATGCCTACCAAGAGTAGATGGAGACAGATGTCTAGGAAACATAATTGTACACCTGTGTATCTTTTTCAGAAGATACTCTCCTTTGAAATTTAAAACTTTAAGGGGTAGGATGTTAGCACAGAAATTAATTTTTAGACATCAGTGCTATCTGGTTAGAGTAATTGCTTATTATCTACTTCCCTGGGGTTTTAAGCTCTTGGAAATGACTATTTGCATCTCGGTGCGTGCTTAAAAGAAGGAGAAAATTGCACTCTATCATTTCAAGGCTCTATTCTGGCTCTCTGATATGCTAGGAGGAAAAAAGAATGTAGAAAAATCTTTCTCCTGACCCATCTGTTCCGAGGAGTAGCAGAGTCTAACACATTTCTTTGACTGGTGGGGATGGTAGCTAGCAGACTATGAGATTTGCCATTATACCTGGCCTATCATGGCTAAGCCCTGCTGGCAGCCCAAAATGATCCCCATGAGCCCTACTAATATGTTAAAAGTTTATTATTATTGTTTTATTAAAAAAAAAAAAAAAAAGGCAGATCAAATCATCATGTAGGTACTGTGGAAACTTGTCTCATCAGAAACCCGATACAGGCAGAGAAATCTAAATTAGGAGCAAGTATTAGGCCTCTGGATAGGAAGGTGATGGTTTTCCTTGTGTCATCAGCAGCTCAAATTTGCAGTGAGTTGTTGGGGGAGAATATCAGATCCTTGTTTGTGTATATCCCAGCCCTGGTGCCAGCTGGGCTCTCAGACGTTATGCCCAACAGGTAGGTGGCTTCTGGCGGCTGTGTAGGAGCTGGGTTACAAACAGAAGATAGCTCAAACACGATAAGGGTTAGTCTCAAGAATTGTTTGCTGGGTGTGTGTTATAAAAGCTGATAGAGACCAGAAGCAGGGTCAGGACCTGAGGTGCCCTCTAAATGGACAAGTCAGAGAGAGGAAAGTGTCATCTGGGGAACCTGGGCACAGAGAGGGAGAAACTGCCTTTGGATCACACGTGGAGTCTGATTTTTAATGTTTAAGCAATGATTAAGCACAGTGCAGGTTTGTGGGCTGGAGCCCCACTGGAGTGTGGGTAATAGAGAAGTTTTTGTCTTTCTTTTTGTCTATTTATTTGTTTCTCAGTCTAGAGTAAACACTGCTATAAAATATGCTGATGTAAAACAACTGCAAATTGAGGCATTATTTCATGGTATTTGTACCACAATTTTATTGCATTCATAGTTATTTACAGTATGTAAATAAGCTTCGCAGTGTAGAAAAATGTTCTGCTATAACTCAGTTGGTTGAACATTTTTTTAATAAAAGGGGGGAGAAAATCAACCCAAACCCTTAGATGCGAGTAGCAAAACAAGATTATGGACAATATTATGGATGTCTTTTTTGTTATGGGATTAGGTCTGTTTGAAAATAGTACCCATTTCCTGAAACGCTGAAATTTGTGTACTTCAACTACCTGCATTGTGTTATAAATCCATAATGAC